AGACAGCTATCTCATAATTATGAGATACTATCTCATAATTATGACTTAGCTATCTCATAATTATGAGATAGTATCTCACTATAATTATGAGACAGCTATCTCATAATTATGAGATACTATCTCATAATAATGAGATAGCTAAGTCATAATTATGAGATAGTATCTCATAATTATGAGATAGCTGTCATAATTATGACTTAGCTATCTCATTATTATGAGATAGCTATCTCATTATTATGAAATACTTTCTCATAATAATGAGATATTTCTCATAATAATGAGATAGCTAAGTCATAATTATGAGATGCATGAGATACTATCTCATCATAAAAAATTATGAGATAGTATCTCATAATTATGAGATACTATCTCATAATAATGAGATAGCTAAGTCATAATTATGAGATACAAGTTTTATTTTTTTTTCAGGGTGGCGGAAATGGGCTTCCATACATTTGGCTCAACTCAGGAAAAAAAAAGAGAAAAGATGTTGCTAAGTGTACAACATATTGCATTTAATATTATTAAATGCAATATGTAATAATTATTAATTGTTTTTTTTTGGGTCAAAAATATGTAGCTTCCATTAAGAGTTAATCAAAAGCACAAATATATGATTTATATGGAGTTTCTCTGGTGATGATGGATGATTTAAAAAGTGAATGTGTGGCCATGAGTTATTATCTATATCTTGTGGCCACACATTAATTAAAAGAAATACAATATGGGACAAGCTCTGTATTTTTAACATTTTTGTGCACACCGAAAAATAAAATACACAACACACCAGGGATACACAAATCTTTTCTCATACCGTTTTCGAGTGTGAATACTTCAGTTTGGGTACTCACCAATACTTCCTGAGTTAGACCTTAAACTTTACACAATGACTTTAAAAATACATTTCTTTGATTTAAAACAAGGCATATCCTTCCTTCAACCCCTTTAACTGTATTAATTCAAATACACAGCATATTATTTACTGTTGTAACTTTTTAAAATAAATCAAAAATAACAAAAGCGATTTTCTTTCAATAACTTTCTTAACATGGAAATGATCAACTTTTCACTTGAAATGTGAATTACTCATTTAATCAATGCCAGCATCCCATTTTCGATACTGGTGACGGTTACGAGTATTGGGGCATTTTGTACGAGTATTTGAAAAAAAAAATGCTGGTATTGGGCCTTACACCAGTATTGGTATCAGGACACCACCATAAAATAATATCAGAAAAATTAAAAATAAATCTATGTGCCTGCCTTTGCATACACCCCCCTACTCCAGCCCCTGTTCACCATCAATCAGAACAATAGTTTTGGTTAAAATATGCTCATTTTAAAACGACAGTACAATAGCTTGTAATGTCTTATCGGACAACTCCGGCACTTCACTTATTTTAAGCTGATAAAAAAATGATGGTCGTGTTGCACTGACTTACTAACTTGAAATTACATTATTAGGTTCCAACTGATATTTTCGACTTGGAAGGTCGAAATTCCAACCTCCCAGTACAACTGGAACACAAAGCTGGGACAGCTGGGGCAGACTGTCAACAGGTCAGTGGGAGGACGGGATACCATTTACAACTGAACAATCTTCTAGAAACATTATAGATCCTTTTTTTTTATTTTTTACTGTGAACAGAAATGTTGCAGTTTTACTTAAAAGTATTGTTGGGTAAACAAGGCTTTAGAAAGGCTGTATATCTCAGATGGACTGAGGTTACCGTGACCTGTTTTAGGGAGGGTCTTGCATATTTCAGCAAGACAATGCTTAATAACATACTGGATCCTTGTCCACAGATTTTTTGAGATATTTTACTGGATGTCATCAAATTCTGAATATGATGCAATTCTTAGTTTAATAATTTTATGTTTATAATGCTAAAACGTTTTTTTTTTTTTGACATTTGCAATCTGTTGCATTTTTATTTATAACTTAAACATCATCCTGTTTTCTAAAAGACTTTTTACCTTTACTTAGTTATTTTTTAAGTACTTCATATACCTCTGGTTGCAAGTTAGAAAACCAGTTTGATTAGCTCATTATTGTGCTCAGTGAACAGCCTAACTACTAATACCAACCAGTATCTCCAGTACCAAGTTTCTCTTCTAACTCATGCAATTTATTGTCAACTTATGGTACAAGTCAAAATAACATTTGATGAAAAGTCTAGTGTATTAAAACGTGCTTTTTTATTTATGTACAGTAGCATCAGTCAAATGATATACTTTAAATTAACTGTTGAGACTGGGCAATGCTGCAAAAGTATTAAAAAAGATGAAATGATCAACAAACAGAAGCTCATCCCTTTGGTTCATTTTTGTCCTAATACTTCAGTATTAACAATTTTTACCCCCCCCCCCCAAAAAAAAAAGCATATTCAAGAAATTTTACTCATTTATTTATTCTAAACTTCTATTATTTATCTATATATTTATTATTATCTATTATGCAGCCATAAGAAAAGGGGAAGCTAAACGATGGGTTCKGTCTGWATGTGGATCTAACTCAGTCAGTTTTATAGATATTGACCTAAAATTTGCAGTGGTAGTAGCTGAGTCGTCCCCAACACATAYTGTTTGAGAACACCCAAGATTTTTGTTTAAAACTTTAGGGCCTGTCTGTTAGCAAAATATCTCATGAACTATGAGATGGATTTTAATGAAACTTTCAGGTAATAATCACTGGATGYTCATCTACRATTGATTATTCGTTGGAGTCAATCCAATTCAAAATAGCTGCGACAACTAATTGGTATTAGCCATCATAAATGTTGCTCTATCTTAGTCGAATTTTACAGAAGATGAATTTGTCGTGGTGGTAGCTAAGAAACATTCACAACACAAACATGATGTTATTTTCAAGGTTTGACCRAAATGTCTCCTTCAGTCTTTCTCAGCCTTTGATTTAAAATCAAAATCATGCCTATTAGGAATAAAGATAAGGGTTTTAATAAACATTTACTAATCTGTCATTGTCCCAGTAAATTCAAAACATTATGAAACCACCATCACACAAATTACTTATGAGTAAAAAACGACAGGTCAAAATAATGCCATCCTGAAAATCTGTTAAAAGTCGTCTGTAAACGTTTAAAAAAGGCTGTTGTGATTCTTGTTTAAATTTGGGCAGCATGTAGTGAGCGTGATGAGTCAGGCGATGTCTCTGTTGTTTCAGGTTTTCTGAGCGAGACGCATCAGATTAGTCAGCGGTGACACATTTTCTTCGCAAACTGAAATTCAAATGAAAGGCRACGTGCAGCTCGCCCACAGAGCCATGTGGGCGGCGACTTCTTCCTCTGTCACTGTCGTCCTTTTTTACTTTTGCAGTTAATSTAATCTAAAAAAAGTTACTCCATAATGTTTTAATGAATCACTTGACTTTTCCATGATGTGAGGACAAAATATTTACTTAAWATAACTTAAATCATAAAAGATTTAGTTTTATCTGGTTATATCAGTTCTTGGTTTTTATTTGTATTAATAATAATTGTTTGACAGGATTTGTCAACAGGAAGCTTTCTCCCCTCCCCTATGTCTTTCCTGTTTATCAGGAGAGAAATGGTGGTAAAAACTAATACTGAATGAACTCTCCACATTCAAACAAAACCCTTCTGAAACCTTGAAAACATGTTTAAAATGAAACAAGGGTAACTTTTACAGAATATTTACAGAGTGAAAAAAAACGGAGCTTCTTGTATGTGTTTTATGTTAGCATAACTCTTCAAACATCACAGCTGAACCAGGATCTGTGTTTTTAACGGCTCATATCTTCCCACTCAGGGCTCTCGTCAAACCTCAAAGCATTAGTTCAGCAGAATAAACAGCAAAAACGCTCAAAGAAATCATCTTAAATTGTTACTGTCTTTGTTATGAGGTCAGTAAATTCAGTATTTAACAGGAGTGGTAGCACTGTAAACTCAGTTGTAAGGCAGACGTCCCGCTGCTTTCACAATATTCACACATCAGACGTCACCAGGATAAATATGGTAACCTCTCAGATTCATGTTTTTTTTTTTTTAGGGGATGTCCATGTCTCCGTTTGAGGCGTGCGAGTGACGTCTCTCCAAATCGGACCCAGCTCTGCTGTCGACGTTTTCTTTGCTCTCCTCTCCGTTTCGCTGCTGATCCTCTGACTCCGATCGCTTTCGGAGACGCAGCCCGGGGTCCCTCTGTGTCGGGATCTGAAAGCTTTGGTAAGAGCTTCCCAGAGATGGTCTTTTCTCTAAAGAGGAAACAAAAAAACAAACAAACAAAAAACAAATGGATAAATACAAAAATGGATAAAAAGAAAATGTGTCAAAAAAGATGCATATTGTGCATGACTCAACTGTTTCTACAACAAAACTGACCACAATACCTTGAAAATTGTCTGAAAAATAGCTCTATTTGTCTTTTTTATAACCATTGGCTAAAGATGCACATTTAATGATTACTTATTAAAATATAGTTGCAGTTGTTAATGAGATAATTGGTTTAAAGACAGACAGCTGAATCCAAACAGTTAATGATAACATTTTAAACAAAGATCTTGTGCATCTGTTAGCGCTCAAAATATATAACGTGGATCACTGTCCACTACTCCCACACCAAGTTTTAGGTCAATATCTCAAAAATTGACCAAGATTTAGCCTTTGTTTGATGTGTTTTTAATCGCATTGGCAGCCATCTTTAATCAAGCTGATTCTAAAAGCAAATCAGTTGTAGACTTGCAACCTATTATTACTTTCACACACACAGACAGGCAAAAAAATTATCATCTGTCCTCACCCTCTGCTAAATCTAAATTACAGACGTAGAGCTATAAAAAAGGCACCAAAAGTAGTTTTTAAGCTTTTAAATGCTACACATATTAAAGCTACGTAGCATAAAACAAACAAAAACAATTGTACAAGTAGAGCACAAGTTTTCCTCTCAGAAAGTGCTTTCAGTAAACCATGTTTGAAAACTGATCTCGTTAGTTTTCGGTCTCTTCACGCAGACAGGAACTCACCGCCCGGTCCGATCGGTCGCATCAGTCTGTTCATCTGGACGTTCCAGTGTTTGACGTTGGTGCTCGCCTGGCGAAGCTTCCTCTGGGCRGCCTGTCAGAGGAAAAAATGAACTCTTTAAGATATTTCCTTCAGCTGCAAGCAGCAAATAACTGTGAAATATACAAAAAGTATAAAAGACAAACCCTTCTTGACAGTAACACAGTACTGAGTGTTAGTAAAATTAACCCTTCGCAGCAGTTATGAAGGTGACTCTTCTGCTGACCTCTACGTCATTTAACAAGCTCCAGTTCATTAATACACCTGCTTTACCTAAAGGGATGCTGGGTTTGTTTTATATGTAGAGCTTTGTGGAAAGGTTATGAACAGTTATCATCTTACCTGTTGGAGGTAGCTCTTTGAACAACCTGAGTTTGGAGAAACAGAGGTGAATTCAGACCAGATGGAAAAGGGAAGAGCGGAGTGGAGCCGAGACTAAAGACCACCTTAAAAAACTCCAGTCTAAAACACTTTAAAACCAGTTCATGCAAATACTGTTTTATAAACATTTACACCTCAGTCAAATTTGTTTTAACTGGTTATTCTGGAAAAAAAAAAAACGTTGATATTGTCTTATAAAAGTGACATCTGTTACTGCTAGCTGCCGCCGCCACTGTTCACATTTGCAGATACCCACTTAATTTTATTCTTTATTAAGCATTCACATCTGTAATCTGTTWGACTCTGGAGTTGTTTTAAGATGTCAGTAGTCCAGTTTGCCCTGTTTGGACTCTGTTCGACTCAGGTTGTTCAAATAGCTATCTACAACAGGTAAGATGATACTTCTTCATAAACTTAACCACTTCAACAGCTCTCGTCACGTTACAGTCGACATTGTTAGCAGTCTATAGCAGATTCAGTCATACTCTCCTGCTCTGCGCCGGGACATGTTTTATTTATCACAGCTGCTGATTATCTGTGACTCCTCACCGTCACATTGCATCTCCTTGTGGAAGATGCTGTTTTAACAGATGTTTCACTCAAAAATCCAATCATTTTTAGTGTCTATTTTTCGCTCTCCGGTCCCATAAAGCAGCTACGTGTGTCGTGTCATTTCTCCCCCCACTCACCACGACATCCTGATCAACCCGGTGCCGGTTGGCTCGGACCTCCTCCAGCTGCCTCTGCGCCTCATCCAGGGCTCGAGACTTGTTCTCCATTTCCTGCTTCAGTTCCTGCTTTTCCCTCTCCGTCTTCAGGATGTACTCCTCCTGCTCCTCCTGCAGGGACATCAACGCCTTCATTTTCTCCTCCTCCTCTGCCAGTAACCTGTAGATACAAGTAAAAAAAAAAACACAAACATGAGATCAAATGAGACCTGTGAAAGGACAGCAATGCACTAATCTGTAAAACTACAGCGTACAACAACTTCCTCTCGCAGCAGGTCAACTTCCTCAGGAACCTAACCCAACACGAACTCATGAGTTTGATACCTGCCGTCTGCAAACACAGTCTGACTCTATTTCCAGCTTCAAGCAGCCAGAGGAGTGGCTGCTCACTCTGCGGCAACACCTACCCAGCCTGGGCATAGCGGAAAGCCTCCTCGTCCAGTCGGGCTTTAATCTCTTGCTGCAGCGCCTCCTCCAAACGCTTCTGCATCTCCTCCAGCTCTTGAATTCTCTTCCTCTGCTTCTCGGCTTCCTCCTCCTTCAGAGCCATCTCGGCCTGCATGCTGACCCGAGCCTGGAGGAACACAGAACCGAGCAAACAATTCACTCTTTTCCTCTTTCTGTTTTTATTTTRTYATCATCATCATCATTGTGTGAATGCTTCATAGCATTCACACAATGATGATCATTTTTTTCTTCTGTATGTTTTTTGGCACCTAACTTGTTCCGCAATTTTTGTTCTATTTCAACAATTCATACATCAAAACGTTCAGCTCATTTATGACAATCCTGMTATGACTTTTGGTATTTCAGCTATTTTTACTTTTTCAGCTATTTAACTTTTTTAGCCACTTTTTTGCCACAGAAAATGAATGGAGCTGTTTTCAACATCCTTAAAATCCTTTCAAATGTTTCTAAATCTTTACAGGTCCTTACACCTTTTGGTATGGTACTGCTCTTTTTAACTTCCTTGCCTTAATTTTTTGCTACGTTTTTGCTAATTTTAGCTATTTWCTGCTATTTTAGCTAAAATTCAGCTTCTTTCTGGTATTCTTCCGCTTTTTTCTATTTTTTTGTGCTTTTTTCTGTTAATTTGTGCTAATTCTGCTCCTTACAGGTGCATTCTGCTATTTGCATTTATTTGCTGCAACTTTAGTTAATTTTTAGCTGTTATTAGCTAAAGTTAGCTTTTTAAAGCTAAATACACAGTTTTTGTAGCTAATATAACTTTTTTCTGCTAAGTTCTGCAACCTTAAGCTCATTATGCTTCATTATGTTAATTACAGAATTTCCAGCTACTTTTGATGTATTTTACTTAAAATTTTAGCTGTTTTAGTTATTTAACTACGGATTGACACTTTTTTGTACATTTTTGCATTTTTTTCTGCTAATTTTACTTTTTTCCCACTATTTAGGTGCTAATTACAACTCGTGGCTGCTAGATTTAGCTTATTTTATGCTAATTTTAGCTTTTAACTATAAAACTGCTTCCTTTTGCAATTCTTTTTGCTTTTTTCTACTGTTTGAGCTTTTATCTGCAAATTTGTGATATTTATGTTTCTTACAGATGTTTTCTGCTCTTTTTTGCTATTTTAGCTTTTAGCTGTTTTCTGCTTTTCCAACTATATTTTTTGTGTCTTTTTACTTTTTTCTGCAAAGTTATGCTTTTTTGCTCTTTTCAACTATTAAATTTGAACTTGCAATAACACTTTTGCTATTAAAGATGTTCCACTCGATTTCAGCAGTGTTCAGTTTACATTTTCAGCAAGAAGCACTCACACTAGCATTTTCGCAGGAAATGCAATTTCTCTAGTTATTATTATTATTATAATGTCTGCTCGTTTGCCTCTTACCTCCTCAGCCTCACGAAGCTGAATCTCCAGRGTACGCTGGAGCTGTTCGTGCTGCTCGCGCCTCCGCTGCTCGTCCTGCTCCAGGAGGACCTGGGCCTGTTTCTGCGCCTCCTTCAGGAGATCCAGCTCGGCCAGCTTGCGCTCCCTTTCCTCCTGCAGGGCTCGCAGCCGCTGCAGTTCCTCCTCTTTGGCCTGTTGGCGCTTGTCTCGCTGCTCGCGCTGCTCCCGCCGCTTCAGTTTCAGGTCCTTATGCAGMGACTTCTTCCCCTCCACGTGCAGCCGGATGGCCGTTTGAATGGCTGCGGAGAGGAAGATGTTTGACGTCTTGGGAGGAAGATAAAAGGTTTTCCGGTTGTTTTAAACATTCGTGAACTTGTGTCCTACCTGTGGTCCACTCCTGCCTCTGTTTGGTGTCCGAGGCGCTCATTTCATAAGTCTTAGAAAGAGTTTTCAGACAAAACATGCACCTCTTCCCATCTCGATCAGGCAGCACCTGAACAAGCAGGAAACACTCATTATTGCACTCATGGATTCAAACTGAAATAAGAAAAATAAAAATCACATTTCTCAATTATAAGTTAGAGATTCATGCATGAACAAATAGCTCAATACTGAAAATTTGTAAAGAATGTGGAAACATTTCTTTATGCAGAAGTTGCCTAATGTAATACAAACATGAATAAAGAGTAAAACCATCACTTCTGTCTTTACTCACAGTATGAGAAGCTTGACTATTAAAAAGTGGGCGGTCAATTTTGGTGTTTTAGAGCGATTCAARCCAGAAAATCAAAACTTGTATTCACGCCTGTCACGATAAACAATAAATCRATTAAACTGTACGATAAATTAAAATGAGGATGATCTTTTTCATTTGCCTGCTTGTTTGTTTTCTTCGTGTCGTCCTCTTTTCCACTCCTTAGCGTGGAGAGGAGTGAACCCTGCTGTCAGGTATTTGCCAGACGCATGGTCTCTAACTTCTGTWGCATGAAGCCCCATGAACAGGCATTTAGCCAGAGGAGCGTCTTCAGGTTTCTGACGCCATCATACAGCCGACAACGCCTCAAGATGCACTCAGGGCACYGTGCCAAACTTTAGGATTGCCGACAGTTGTTTTTTTCTTTTTTACTCTATGTAAGTTGTAATGCAAACTTCCATAAATGAGGGGGTTACATCGTTATATTAGTTTATACTGGTCGCCAAACAAAGTTATCATTTATCGCAAAAAATTTCGGAGACAATTTATCGTCCAGTAGAATTTGTTATTGTGACAGGCCCACTTGTTTTCATTCAAGGACACACCAACAAAGATCTATAGGGTTTAAATACAATTATTTTCTAAGCACACTTCTTTCTTTGACAGCATCRTCGTATTTTTACTTCATTATATTCTTAAACAACACAAACTTTAAAGRCTCCCGTTAGCCAAGAGAGTAACACACCATCTTCTGAACCCACTACAACTGAGCTCCAGAGCAGAGGCACATCTGAGACTTCTGAGAGTCAGTAACTGTGTGGGAGTCACATCAAAAAAATGAAAGATCCATGAACATTTTCACATAAATATGTTTTTCTTTTTTAATGTACTGGATAATGGTGAGCTGTGTGGGTTTTACTTAACCTCATACAGCCCACCAATGTTTATCGCTCACCACCAATAAAAGGAGGGTGCATGTGAAATTGTCTGTCTAGCAAAATATCTGATGAACTAGTGGGCTGATTTTGTTCAAACTCTCACAGAGTCATTATATGTGCGTACATCTCATTAAGATGGCCACTACAGCTGATCAACCACAGAGCGCACAAAAATGACTACAGCTCAGTTGTTTTAGTAGCTGCTGAGCTCAACATTTGGTGTGACAGGAGCTGAACGTCATTCCCAAAACTTCCTCCAAACGCTTAACAGATCGCACGAGATCTTTGCTACTAATAAATAGATTTTTAACTCTCGAGTTTGTTTTCCTAACTGTATTATTTCTCACATGATGGGAATACAGAATAGTAAAACTGTAAGAAATCTTTAAAGCTTAAAGACATCAGTGACTGTCTTAACTTTTGAGGCCAATCAGATTGCTCCTCTGGCTGAGTGCAAGAAGAAGTCTCGGTGCTAAACTGAACTTTTTAAAGTTACTTCTTAGTTTAAATAGAATAGAATAGAATAGAATAGAATAGAATAGAATAGAATAGAATAGAATAGTCTTTGTTAGAATAGAATAGTCTTTGTTGTCCCACCGAGGGGAAATTCAGGTGTCACAGCAGCATTAGTACAGAG